TTTTTTAAATTGATAAATGAACAATAAATGACTGAAGAACCCAGGATTTGATTTTAATTTTGGAATTGAAACACAGTCAGGAAAGTACATACAATGTAAATTTATTATTATGATGTTATTTTATGAAACATTAATGTTATAAAAATGTATGACAAATGTTAAATGATAATTTTTATATGTTAAATAAAATATTTTATTGTTTTATTTCGATTTTAGGTATCGAGGGGAATGGGAGTTTTTCCGCTTTACGCCAAAGGACAAAGAGTCTGTAAAAATATTTCCTGTAGAAGGAATTCACGTAAAATCTAAGGAATCGCAGCCAACCAAGATCGTTTTAGAAAATGTTCCCAGGGAAATCAGTGGTCCTTTTAGCTGCGAAGTTACGGCTGAAATGCCCAGCTTTTATACACTTATGCAGACCGCCGAACTTCAGGTGACTTAACAAACCTGAATTAAAGGGAGTTTTAGTGGGTATATAAGTGCACTTTATTAGAGATTGAAAAGAAGCTAAAATAAGCCGTTACACTAGTTTTTGGCTGAAGCAAGTATTTATTTTTTTAACATATCACATACCGATATTTAAGCGTTTTCGACAAGTTGACCCCTAAATAAGCATATGACAAATTTGGACACGCTTTAACTATTTACGGGTGAAACTAAAGTAACATATTTAATCTGGGCTATTAATCTGCTTTAATTCAACAAAGAAATATTAATGATTATAGGATATGGGATTTTAGACGCATAGTACAAACAAATGAATATCTCCATGGAACGTTTTCTGAGAAAAGCATCGGTCGCAAGGGAAAATTGAATGGCCTGCTCAGTCTCCCGATTTGACCCCACTTGCCTGTTTTTCTGTGGGGCGATGTTAAAAATGCGGTTCACAAAAATAGGCAACAAAATATTGAAGAGTTGCATGATAGAATAAGCCACGAAATTGCCGGAATTCCTCTGAAAATTCTTCTAAATTCATTAGAAAATTTAATTCACCTGCTTCATTACTAACGGTAAACGGCGTACGCCCTGTACTTGGCTACTGGTTGTACTGGTGATAATTCTTGGTTTTTGAAAAATACTGTGCGAAACTTTCACGGGTTTGTAATTAAGAGCTCGGCTGATACGTACTTCAACAATTTTCATTTCCATTTTTTTGTTGACTGTTTGGAGCATAAGAAGTTTTTGTATTTTCACTTGGTTTAACAGCTTTACGTAAGCTTCATGCTGAAAGCACCAAAGTTACTGAAAAACAGTGTTATTAAGATACTCAGAAGCGTTTCCTGCGTTAAACTTCGAAAAATACTAGCATATGGTGACAATGAATACTAACAATCGGTGCAAGAAGAATATGTTTTTACTTTTAACTTTAGACAATACTTTGGCCATATTATGAGAAGCCAAAAATAAGTTGCTCCGACTAATCATAATACTAATCATCCCCGCCATCAAGCCGCAACTCTTGGCTTAAGAACCTGCCATGCTATGGACAAATATGACATCCATTGCCTTATTTGGAGCTGATTCAATTAAGATTAAATGGCAAAATGTAATGGCCAACGTTCTTAGGGATAAGGCACCTTAAGAAGAAGAATAAGAAGATATCGTAACGGTATCAATATGCTCCAAAAACATATGAAAGATAGGAACGACATTCCAAAAAAGCTTGCTCTAAGACTTGCGCTATCCAGTCCTTCCTCTAAGATGCAGATTTCGATCATGACGATGATAAAGAAGCAGACAATACGAGAAGTTTCTGCGAACTTACAAAACATCTGCGGATTCTTTCGAATATCATCGGATATTGAGGCTTTCAACAACTCGTTCTAAGTCGCAGAACCGTTTATTCTGTTACTCTAAATAACTAATTAACAATTTTAAATCGTTACTCTAAACTGTTACTGTTAAATAGTTCTAAAGACCCACTGAATTCAGAAATACTATTTGTCCAGATTTTTTCAAGCCACTTGTCATCAATGTGATTCACGCAAAAAGGTGTTGATACCGAGACTTATCTTAAATTGACAAAATGATGGCTCACCGGTTGAAAATATCTAAGTGACTTTCTTCAGATATAAGATTCGTTTTTTTAAGGTGGTAGAGGTCCCAAGGACTGCACCCTATATAACTGGTATTAAAAAGAGATACTCGCTGGAAGATGAAATATTTCGAGCTAATTGTACCTCAGAACACTCGTATCCAGCGGCAAATATTACTTGGTATATTAATGGACATCAAAGTAAAAAACAGCAAATATTGAGCCGCAGTATAGACAAAACTGATAACTCCGTCACGTAAGTCCATTTTTGTTGTAGGTACTATATGTTCAACGTAGGGCTACAGAAAATGTCGGTAATGTTTTAAATTTAATTCCCCAACTAGTAAGGCATTTTTAATATCGCACAATTTTGTTATATTTTAGAGTTACATCGAGCATTCGACATCATCTACCCAAAAAGGCATTCCAGAATAAACGTATGAGAGTGCAATGTTTAACTAATATATATAATGTTTACTACTACACTGCCCAAGTAACTGTGGAGCTAATAGACAAACGTAGTAAAAGTCATCAGCAGGAGTGGCCTCCTACGACTGGGGCTCCACCCTCTTTATCCAGAGACAGCTTTTATGATAGTAGATATTATGAAAGCTCAATTGAGCCACCTCTAGAAACAACTCGTAAGTAAAACCAAACTTTTATTCTTATCAAATACGTACATTTCTCTAATAGTAAATACAAATAATCAGTGATTGAAGAAGAGTAAACATTTCAATATTAAAAGAAGTAACAAGGTGAACCAAACTCAACGAAAGAGTTTTAGTAAACCAGGGATTTATAGATAGACTTATATGCAATGTTTTCTCCATTTTTGTATGTCCAAAAGACCAACCGGTCGATTTATTTCGAAAATCCTCTTCGTCTTGGAGTCAACGTCCCAGTGGAGGTGGCTGATCAGTACGGTTACTCTAATATTTGATACAGCTGTGAGAAATAGTTTCTTAAATGGCAAATCAAGAAATTCTTGTAGATTGGGTAGTCATGTGATCCTACGCCGTGGACATTTTTAGAACCCGTGCTTTTTCCTAGCATGAGTAGCTGCAGAATGTCATATAAGAAATTGCGACAGATCTGTGCCAAATATTAAAACTTTTTCTATTTTTTGACAGTAAAGAAATCTTGCACTTCTCTGTTCGTGTTTCGCAAACTTGTTCGTTTGCATCCTTATTAACTTCTATATGTTCACATTCCAAAAGCGCCTAGTCTCCTTCAGGTTTCCTTGTTGAGAGTTCAAACTTTCCAGACGTAAAATATTTTTTAAAGTAAATAAATTTACTTAATTAATATACTAAAATATACTGGTATTTTTACAAACTTCTTTTTGGGTATTTCGCCTCAAAAATTTTTGTCTTTAAAAAAGACAGAATTTCCTCACGTCTTTTATTACAGATTGAT